TATATATATATATATATATATATATAATTATTATCAGACAGAGTGTATCTGTAAGGGGACAAAAATGAATAAAAGAACAAGAGGAAAAATTAATTTTAGCCGACGCGTTTCGTCTTCTGAGTGACTTTATCAAGGCAATGTAAGGTATATTTTGTTGCAAAATCAAGGGTGTAATTGGTTTATCAAGGCTTTTAAATTTGAGAACGTTCACGAATGTTTATCAGGTTGTTGAAAAGTCAGTCAAAACATGTGGAGGATAAGTGTCGGAATTGAAATTCTGGTAAAACGTAAGTTAGACAGTATTTGGGCACCAATGCCTGACAGATCGGATGGACATTCTGGACAGACTGATAGCGTGTTCCTGCGATGGCCACCTACGTGTGCAGACCTCACGCTATGTGATTTCTTACTCTAGAGTTATGTGAAAAGCGTCGGGTACGTAACCACTGCCCCTTCCCAGAGACGTGGATGATACGAAGACGCGAATAACTGAAGCCTTGGCAACCATCGAAACGCTATGCTTGGTCGTATTTGGTAAGAACTGGATTATCGTTTGAATGTGTGTCGTGTAACCCGGGGCGCTCACATTGAACACCTGTAGAAACCTGTATAGAAACATGGAAATATTAGCTTTCATGAAATATAAATTGTGTTTTGATATCCTGAAGAGTCGTAATGTGAGACAGATATTTGGAACACTCTGTATATTCTATTTAGGTAGCAATCCTTCATTTATACATGTTTCATTGAAGACGACTGACAAGGTACTACGATTAAGATTTTTATTTAATTTTTCTTGTGTTCGTACAAGTGTTTTCTTTTCTCGGCACAAAGTGTGTAAAAACTGTTCCACATTTTTACGTATCCGAGCACTTTCAGCTAACCTTATAACCATTATCAAGGACGAATTTTACTTTTTATTTTTAACTGAAAATGCGGGATCTTTTTTGTATGTATCTGAAGTTATATGACTGTTTCTTTTCCTAAAAAAATCATAAATGTTTAAATATATATATATATATATATATATATATATATATATATATATATATATATGTATTGATAAATGTTTAAATTATATATATAAATAATAATAATAATAATAATAATAATAAAAGCTCAAGCAGTAATATTCCATGGTTATAATTTATTACATTGGAATGATAAAAAAATACATATGTATACACACGTTGCCGGTGCCTGTTTTTTAAATTAAAGTAGGTCAGCGATTCGGTAGCGAATTATGCATCGAAAAGTGATTCATATTTATCTGTATCTCACTCATTTAAACCGTTATTTAACTCCTCTCTTTAAAACTTCTCTCTGTTAAATTTTAATCCCCATCTTCAACTTTAGACCTTCCTGTTCTTCTTTCTCCTGTTACCCTTCTCTAGAGCTTTCATCCATTTCCCTCTCACACTTGTTTCCCACTCCCACACATACACGCTCACTAAAATTTAATTTTTTATACCCGGAGTTATATTTTCCAATTTCTTTTTGAATTTGTAGGTCTGATCAATTGGATCGTGATTACGGTTCCAATGTAATAAATTATGACCATGGAATATTAGTGTTTGAGCTTTTTTTATTATATTATGATATACGGGTATGCTAGATTTATGTGTAAAAGTATTCAATATCAGAGGTAGAGTCAATATAAATAGAAAAGTGGACACTAAGGTCAATACGAAGGTCAATGTCAGCGGAAAAAAAGTTAGCCTGAGAATCCCCAACGAGTCTCTCACCTGGAGGTTAGCATCGGCCATGCTAATGGAAGACACAAATGGTTCTATGACGATTATTAGAGAGCTGAAGAAAATTAGGAATAAGGTAGGCGACGCTTGCATTAATAAAAAAATATTCAAATGAATGGTTACAGACAACTTTTATTTACCGATTTGATAATAAAAATTGAATCAGTTCCAAAATTCGTGTCGAAATACCATAACCTTTCAACTAAAGAAAACCGTCTATGCTAAACCCTTGTCAAATGCCTTCGAGATAACCAAAGTAACAGACCGAGCTTCACCATTCTTATCTAAAGTTAATCTAGAAAAACCAAAAATCATATTGCTTGTCTAAAAGAAGATCCTGCGAGGTGAGGTATATACATATATATATATATATATATATATATATATATATATATATATATATATATATATACGAAGAAATAGAGTTTTAAGGTGTGTTATATTTATGGGATAAACCGCTCAATATCAACGATAGAGCGTATGTAAATATAAAAGTGAATAATAATAGTGAATACTTCATGCTAGATGCAATTATATATATATTATATATATATATATATATATATATATATATATATATATATATATATATATCCTAAAACATTTTAATCAAACAGAACTGACATGGTCTAACTGTGCATTTATTGCACACACGCATACACACACATATATGTATACACACAAACACACACACATATATACATATATATATATATATATACACACATACACATATATATATATATATATATATATATATATATATATACACACATATATAAATGCGTGTGTACGTATGCGTGTATATATATATATATATATATATGTGTGTGTGTGTGTGTGTGTGTGTAGAATGCACTTTTTTATATCAGCTGGCATATTAATTCCCCATGTTTTCTTGCCGAGCAGTTTCTGTCTTTTTCGTTCTGCTTTGTAACTGTCATTATTATTATTATTATTATTATTATTATTATTATTATTATTTCTAACTATTAAACATTACCCCTTTGTTCATATGTTGTCCTTGGTGGTATCAGCTTTGGCAATATATAATACACAAAGAACAGCCAACGATGTTAATCTGACTCTTTGCCCAGTAAAGAGAGATACAAGCGGGACTTCTGGTTGCAGCTAATGTATAATACTTAAGTTATCTTAAATTTCAAATATCGTCCATTTTTATTATTAATTTTCTTTCCACACGATTTTTGCACTTTGGTATTGCAATCGGGAGTCTAATCGGTAAGGTGTTAATAGCAGACCGGTTGCCAATTACGATGTGTACGTAAACGACGTAGAAATTAATAACAAGAATTCTGTTGAAATTACACCTGAAAAATATGGCAGGAGGACAAGAAAAAGGGGGAAGACATAATAGCGTCAATAGTTAAGAAATTAGAGCAACTGAAATATATAAACATCATGGTGCTTGTCTTCTTTCCATTAATTTTTCTAGTCATTTCTGATTAGCTCCAACTGTATCACACCAAAGGATCTTGAATGACACTATTTAAATTATTCGGACTATTCTCCTCATCTTTGTCGCCATATTTATTACAACGTTTTGGCTGTTGTACGCTCCGGCCTTCTTCAGGGGGTTGGAATGTCGAACTTTAATTTTCTCACTGAGGTATACTGTTCTAGTTCCACGTGCCATGTTTAATGGATATCTTCTGTTAAGTTCTCTACTGCCGGGTATTGAGCTCACACTCTTTGGGTCCTGTCACTGGATCTAACTAACGTCTTTATCCCCTGTGCCATGTGTCCTTGAGGACATCTGTGCATGAATTTCTGGGTATTATAAACCTAATGTCTTCAGCAAACATTTTTTACCAGTGCTCATATTACAATTTTTGCTGTTATCACCCGTTTTTACCAGAGCTCATATTGCAATTTTTTGTTGTTATTATCGCTTTTCTCTGGCATTTCTTATTACTGGTTTCCATATTGTATTCATTTCTATGCTTGGTCGGCTCAGGAGATTTTTGTGGCCTAGCATATGTGCTAATTCCTTAAGTTTACGATCTTGAGTGTGTATTTTCTATTTTGTTCTTGTGCTATGCCTCTTTTAACACAACCTCCTCCATCTATCTTAAGTATCCACAATCTGACCACACTACGTGTTGCTGCTGCCGTTTCCATAACAACTTGTTTTTATAGGGTGGAGTTCCCCTAGATTGGATACCAACCTAGACTAGACAGCCAATTGCTATTTAACCCATAGCTCGGAAGATAAGAGAGGTATTCATGCAGTTTCCAAGAGTATATGTGTGAAAGTGAACGCAACACATTTGACCAGAATTTGAATAGTATGAACTCAACTTCTGGCTGAGTGGGTGTGTACATAATGTATTGTCATAGAAATTGGAATTTGTGTTATAATTATAAATGCATATTATTCTATTCATTACATAAAATATGTAAATACCATGATTGTCTTGTGACGATTATTTTTAATTTAACTTCTCATTTACTTCAATTGTAGAAAGGAATTACCAAACGCACGCCTAAACAGATGTGAGATCATAGTTATACTCATATAAGGTTATCAACCAAAGCTGCGTTATCAATTCAGGATACCCTCAAGGTTATCAACTCAGGATAACCTGCTATTTTACCCATAGCTGGGGCGGGGTAAGAGATTAATATCTAAAGCATTTGTGGGTAACGACCTTGAGAGGTATTTGAAATCAGCATGCCGGTTTCACTTTCGTCACTACGCTAATCGCTCATTATGATACATCGTTTTCTCGGAAATTAAATTTTACAGTCTTTAGTATTTTGTCAAAATTACTTACTTCACTGCCAAAGACTACAGGGAAGATCAACCTAAACCACGCTTTTTACAAGATTTTATACTAGCACTTATAATTTTAGATCAAATTTTAGTTTCAAATATAGCACTCATTTGTAAGCTCTGATCTGATTATTGAAATATCATTGCAGATCTATGATCCAGTGTTCTGTTTTAGGTTGAATGGTTTTATCGGGATAAAATCATTAAAAAAACTAGATATGAGAGTCAGAAAAAATCATTAATTAATTGTAGTAAATCGACTTTGAAATTTAGACGATATGTGCGGAAGACAGAGTCAAGGGTTGTATTTGACAACTTGATCTCTCGTCAGAATTGGAAAGTAGAAACCTAGATATGATTCTATAAGGCAATATAAATAAAAAGTGAACGACACACGAGGAGATAATTCTGATAAGCTAAGTTGTTTAGACCGCGTTTCACGGCTGCACATGGGGGTAAGCACTTCAAAAGAAGACAGACCAACATTATTGTTAAAAGCAGGAGAAAAAAAGTTCCCCAGTGTATTCCCATACGTCTTCTTTGAAAAAGAAATTATTTATTGAAAATGTGCAGAGAATATTTGAATGATTTTAGGCAAATGTCCAGTGAAAGGAAGCGAAAAATATCTACATCTTGCCTCATGATAGTTTTCATTTAAAAAACAAAATAACGAGATGGCACGTCTAGCTATCTCAGCCTTTTCATATCTATCAATCTATATCAGTCGATCTATATATCACAGTCTGTTCATATCTATCTATCTATCTATCTATATCTGTTCATATCTATCTATCGTAGTCTTTTTATATGTATCTATCTATCTGGCTATGTTAATGTGTTCATATCTATCTATTTATCTATCTATCACTTTTTCAGATCTATCTATCTATCTATCTATCTATCTATCTATCTATCTATCTATCTATCTCAGTCTGTTCATATCTATCTATCTATCTCAGTTATTTTTATGTCAGTTTCTTAAACAATATATTGTTTATATAGATAAACATTACTTAATATGTGATTACGAAGTTCGATTCTTACAGGTTTTGGATTGGGAAACGCCAAAATATTGCAGGAAAATTAATATTTTGATAGTAAAGTTTTTAAAAAAAAAGATCGGTCAAGTATAAAAATCCTGGAAATAGGTCAGAACGGCAAGTGGCCAAACACTTCGAGGTCTGTCGGGTGTGTAGGAGGAAGTTCACTATTTGGCAGAAGGGTTCATCTATAAGGAAGTAACATATATATATATATATATATATATATATATATATATATATATATATATATATATATATATTTTTGTGTGTGTACACACGTATATGCAAACGGAATATAAAATGATTTTGGAACGGATATTACTGGAAATTACTGTGTACTTCCGGCTGTCTGGAGATATTTGCGGAGAATAAAATAACACTTGAGTGTAGGTAAAGCAATGTACGTCAAGTCCATTTGAAAATGAGTAAATATAAGATATCACAAATACATATACATTTACTTGTGTATATATACACACACACACACACACATATATATATATATATATATATATATATATATATATATATATATATATATATATATATATATATATATATATATATATTATGAAATGGACTAATTTCAACAATTATTTTAATAAATTTTTTTGCTTATATGTTATTTCTATAGATAACATTTTAAGTAAATGTTCTGTTTATAGTAAACAGTATTAACAGCATTTACCGGCCATAATACAAGAGAAATTTAATAAAATTATGTGACACATATATCCTATAAAATTTCTCGGACATTCAGGCCGGTAATTGTTAATTTAAACAGACCATTTACTTTGTATCTATAACATTTGTATCTATAAAAATAATGTATAAACGAAAAATATATTAACGCATATATGTGTGTGTGTGTGTGCGTGTGCCTGTGTGTATGAATATATGTGCGTAAATTATTTTCCGAGCGAGTCTATCTGTGAAGGAACAAAATAACTAAAAAGACAAGAGGAAAACCTATTGTTAGCCGACGCGTTTCGTCCTCTGAGGGACCTTTTCAAGGCAAATGTAAGGCTTTATGTTGTTGCCCACGTTTATATACAAGAGCAAGTATATCATTGATTTATCAAAGGTTTTGAATTTGAAAACATCCATTTATATTCATCAGGTGGTTGAAAATATCAATCAAAACATTCGCTATTCACAAAGTGCCATAATTCAAGTCTTGTAAGACAAAAGTGAGCCAGTAATATTCAAAAAATATGTATATTTTTAAATAAACAAATTAAACAATATTCATTTATTAACAAAAAAAAATGATAGAAAAAATCTGACCGTAAATATATATATATATATATATATATATATATATATATATATATATGTATATATATATATACACCTGATGAAACCAGACAAACCTACCTAGGTTTCACCTAAACGGATCGTCAGGGAAAGCTTGGCTGACGATCCGTTTAGGTGAAACCTAGGTAGGTTTGTCTGGCTCCTAGGTGTATCTAGGTCTGCTCTACGATTGTATTGAGCTCTTTTGTTAGTTAGTTGTTACTCGTATCGGGTTTTTTTTCTTTGGGCTTCAGACCTGCATCTGTGCGATTTTTGTCGGCAGAAGTTCATGTTTGTAGCTCTTTCTTTTTTAAAACCTTTTTTCCCTCGAAATTGATTTGATTAACAAATCAAAAATTCGAGGGCTTTTCGAAACGAGTCTAGTTATCTATATGTATATATATATATATATATATATATATATATATATATATATATATGCGATAGACTGTGGTGTATGTGTGCCCGATGCAAGAATTTTAGTTGTTTTTAGTTATTAATATTGTAGATGCAATCCCCTAGAGTGCATAAGAATTCATAAACAGGGAGATTTTTGACGTCCTGATTTGTTGGTAATAATTCGATTAGATGTTTTAAACTTTTATATTAGATGATGTGTCCGTAGTGTTTACTAGAAACAAATTATATTTTTAATTGCTTTTTCACCCTGTTTATGATTAAGGTGCACCTGGTTACAATAGAATAAGTTGATGGTGTGTTTATTTTTATTTACATCAGTGTGTTATCTTAGTTTTTCTAAATTTCGTCAAGGATAATTTTTATTTGTTTATCGGCTTCTTAGTTTAGGACGTTATTGCTGATTAGTTTGTTTAATATTGATTAGTTCTTTATAGATTAATGTGTCCGAAGAAGAGATCATTTTGTCTTCTTCAGAATGGCGACAATCGTAGATATTTTCAAGGAAATGTTAAAAAAGGAGATATTTGCAATTGTCTTATGAACAAGAAATCAGGTTGAATATTGAATGAGTTTTTTTTTTCTCAACTTAATATGACATTTTATTTTGAACAACATTGTCTTCATTATCGACCAATCTTGACATTCCTTTAGAATGAATAAATCTTCCCCAACTAAGACATCATGTAGTGGAAATTATCGATGAATCAGTGATTGATTCTACCGTTTATGTGTATTATAAATTGTGATGAGTTTTGAAACTAGTGTTTGTTTTTGTTTTTTTCAATTTTGCAGCAGATTTCCCGCAGAAAGAGTTTCATTTTATTTCTTGCAAAGTAAAAATTTGCATAAAGATCGAAGAAAGAGCGGGAAAGTACACTTTGGAGGAAGAATTCCGTCTTGATTAGATTCTATTTGTTGTTTATCAATTCTTTGTACAAAGAATTAAATCACTTACGCTAATTCAATTAACGGACTAAACTTGACGAGTTGCTTAGAATTGGTTTACTGCACTGAGATTACAAATCTTGATCAGAAAGATGTTTATCTTTCTTTAACACCTTTTGAAGATGTTAACCCCAAAGAATAATCGAACTACAGCTGAACGCAAAAACTATTCGACCTGAAGATTATTTTCCGATCAGTCGTTCCAAATTTGATTTGATCAGAATTATTTACTCCATCAGCGTTAGTGAAACAATTTAATACAAGTAATTTAATATAAGTAAGCGAGAATAAATATCATTAGCTTTTTTTGACAATTCATATTAATAACTTATATGTAAGCGTTCGAGCATAGCTACAAAAATTAGAAATAAATTTAGTAATAATTGCAGATAACACTACTTTTCTTACGTTTCCAGAATGTTTTCATTTATGTCAAAATGCGTCATATAATCTTATTTTCTATATTAAGCACCATGGCCGGTGCAAGAGTCCTGTGTATGCCTTTCTCCTCTAGATCTCAATTTTCATCAGGTAGTCTTCATAGGGAATAAGAAATTTTATTGTAACCTAATTATGAACAATAATGAATCATATGCAATATAGGTGAACAATTCAACTAAAAAAAAAATGAAAATAATTACAACGTATCTGTATAAAATTTAGAAATATGTCATTCCATGTTAAATAAATCAGTAATGATTTGCGGCAATTTTTAACATCAACATGAGATTTTTCTTGTTAAAAAGTGAATAATTTAAAACATTCAATATTAATGATAAAAAATAATGAATTTTATATCGTGCTTTTTTGAGATTAAGCATGAGCAAGACAAATTGGGACGGAAATAAAAAAGAAATGAAAATACGTCAGAATCCGTAAAATCATTTGTGTTTAGTTTAAATTTGTAAATTATATAAATGTAGGTAGAAAAAAAAAGCAAATATTCATAAGATAGCAAGTGCCGCAACGCACATACAGGATCCCCAATTAGGCTTTATCGGGGATGGTACATGCCGGCCCTGTTAAGCTTTTATAAAGAAATTCATATTGATTCATAAAAACATCTATAGGAAATAATCTTTGAGTTGCATTATTTGCTGTATATCCTTATATAATTCATTATTAAAGCTTATCATCACACATATTGTTGAATTTGCATCAAAAGAAAGCTGGATGTATCAAATGTTTATAGATGGTAAATACTACAGTTATTTTGTAGAAATGCTTTTTTAAAATTGTTAAATACAGCCTATACTGAAAGTACAGTCCAATTGGATACGTTTCGTCATAAGATGTATACATTTATAAGGTTTGGTGCGTATTGAATGGCTAGGATTTTATAATTTTATTCAAGAAGATATGTAAAGTTGGGTGGGGGCGTATTACTGATTAGGTGAGAAAACAACATTTGTTAAGGCTTTTAGACAAATCTATGCAAAATACAATTTCTTTATCTTCTTTCCATAATTCACGCCCTCTACTTAATATCCCAAATTTTACAGAGAAATTTACGGATTAAAATTCAATTAATATCTATGTCACACTGTTAAAACTGACCAAAAGCAAAAAATAATAAAAAAGAAAGAGCCGATCGAAAATGACATGGACTATGAATATGACCGCAATGTGCTGGCCGTGTTTGGAGAATAAATTCCTATAACTTCAGACACATATTTAAAAAAGACTCACATTCAGTTAAAAATAAAAAACAAAAATCGTCCTTGATAATGGCTAAAAGAATAGCCGAAAGCGCTCGGATATGCAGAAAGTTTGGACAGGTTTTACACACTTTGTGTTCAGAAAAGAAAACACTCGTTCGAACACAAGACAAATTAAATAAAAAGCTTAATCGCAGTACTGTATCAGTCGTTTTTAACGAAACTTGTAGATATATATATATATATATATATATATATATATATATATATATATATATATATATATATATATATATATATTCAGATGAAATGAGAACGAATCGAAAATAAAATTTAAAACAGGGCTCAATACAAAAGTAGAGCTGTATTGTTTATTTTAGGAGAATTACATCAACATGAAAATAAACGCTATATAACTGCAATCATGCTTCGACACATCTTATCAGGCGATAGCAAATGAAAAAAAAATAATCTAACTCCTTATGAGATGGGTTGGTATATATCAAAACATTATATATATATATATATATATATATATATATTGCAAGTAGAAATGTAAACATTCAAAATATTTAGACAATGTCACTGAAATAAGC